AAGAAAATACATTCCGCGCATATGAATGTACAAACGCGCTATTGATTGTCCATTGATGCCCATGAATGTACACGCATATTCAAATATCGTTATTGAAAGTTGGTCCGCGCTAATGATGTTACTTGTGGTGTTGATGAAAGTACATTACMCGTTATTGATACAACTATTGGCACAAATGAATGTACATTTTCTCTTAATGAACAGCAAAAGGTGTAATTAAAAGGCTATAACGTCGAAACTTTTAACTTTCTAGGGGTGACTTTTTAATAGAGCGAAAACACATCTGAGATCTAGAAGAGATAACTAGCTAAAAACTAGTGTGAGCTGCGTCGCTGTTTCTTATGAAACAGTAATGATAAAAGGGTAAATTTTACACCGTGAAAAGATGAAAAGAGGAAGTATCTTTTACTCCGATGACGAACTAGCGTCCGAAACGTGAATGGAAGTTTTTTCACCTTTTCACGGTGTAGAATTTACCCTTTTATCATTACATCTGAGATCTGTTTGAAAACACATAATCTGCAGATGGGGGGAGGGGTGAGTAAACCTCCTCCTTTTGCACAATAAAAATAATTTAAAAAATCAAGCCTCTTTATTGGTTTCCTGTTGTAAGTTGAACTTTGCTATGTAAAGAATGAAAAGACATTCAATTTCATATACACCTTTTGCTGTTCATTTACAGAAAATGTACATTCATTCGTGCCAATAGTTGTATCAATAACGTGTAATGTACTTTCATCAACACCACAAGTAACATCAATAGCGCGGATCAACTTTCAATAACGATAATTGAATATGCGTGTACATTCATAGGCACAAATGGACAATCAATAGCGCGTTTGTACACTCATATGCGCGGAATGTATTTTCTTGTGCGCGAAATTCAACTTCAATAACACCATATGACAAGCAATTGCATTCATGGACAATCATTTATCCAAAAGTGAAAATTCATTAGTGCTATTAGCATAATGACAATCTATAACGCGTTTGGACAATCATGAGGGTCAACGTTATATTCTATAGTGTGGTTCGACAAACATTTGCATGATTCGAATGAACAATAATGTCCAATTAAGTCCAATTGATCCGCTCCTGATTTTTTAATCAGTAGATATTCCAATGAGGTTGTCATTGAATTACATGCAGTCAATGCACGTGGAATCGTTTAGAATCTTGGGATAAAAGGCACAGGCGCTCTTTCATCTTAACATCCTTTCGAACCCCTCCTCACTATTCTTCTTGCTTTTGCTTTTCGTCTGTTAGGAAGAAGTGATGATAACAACAGATGCTCAGGAGAGTCTTAATAAAGTCTGTCATTGGGGACATAAAAAACGCAAGGGATGGGATAAAACGAGCGCTGAATTTCATGATCAAACGATATTCTTAACGAGGTACGAATTTTATATGACGTGTGAAATACTCGTGGTACAGGTATGCTAAGTCCGAGATCTCTCTCTCTCTCTCTTTCCTCCAGTTTGCTTGATTTCTTTCTTTAACGTTAAATTCATTGTATGTTTATCTTTCAGGAAAAATTTTGGACCATCAGGTACGTAAGATATCGTATATTTTTTGAAAGGGTTGGGGTGGTCATGAGAGGGGGCTATATGGCTAAGTTAAGTTCAACAACATATGACAAATCGAGCTTTTTGCATTTTTAAGCCTTGTACTCACATCAGAAAAAGGTAATATTAATATTAAACTTTCCTTTGATCTCATCCAGACGTTTAAAAGCTTCAGCTCATTTGATTGGGATTCCAGAAGTTCTGGCTTCTGGTCTTCTGTCTAGGCCTTTTTTTTTTCTTCTCTCTCCTCTGCACCTGCGCATTCTTTATTCAAAACCGCTAGTTCAAAAACCGTGTATGCAATAATATTTCTTTATCCTCACACTTCTGCAGTTTCATACAAATGCTGCTTATAACTTAAAAACGTCTCTCGTAAAAACAATAGGATTGAGGCGTGACTGGTTTTTATAACCAGAAGAATAAACATCAATTCGATAAAATTTAAACGGAAATCCTTTCTCCCCGTCAACATCCATGACTCTGACCAAAATTCAATTTTGTACTCATCATTACCACCCCAATAAACCCATAAATACCTTAACCTAGCATAAGTTCATTATGTTTTTCATTTAATATATAAGTTATTACTTGGATGACTGACTTTTATAACTTACTTGTAATTAGATATCGATAACTTTTAATAATTTAAATAATTATTGTGGTCTGTTTGCAGGTTATGCCCCAGTGGGCAGCATGTGCTATCGCACCAATAGCTGTACTCTAAACGACGATGATGGGTTCCCATCGGCTTTTATTGTAGCTCATGAGACTGGACATACGTAAGTTCGTTGGATTTGTCTCTTCAGACATGGAATTTATTGGATTTGGTTTTCTCTCTTTTTTTTTTTTTTTTTTTTTTTT